CGCAGTTCACTTCGCAATTTTCTGCATTTCCTGGGGTAAAGTATTCGCTAACTGCCGTCGACCTACCCAAGGCTTTGGACAGCGCTGATCATCGTTTGCTCCTAATAAAACTTCATTGCTACGGTGTGTACCCTGATTGGTTCAAAAGTTATTTGAGTGCTCGGATACAGGTGGTACGTGGAAGGCTAACGACCCCACCGGTAACCCACGGAGTGGTCTAGAGGTCCAAAGTCGATTTACTAGTATTCACCCTATTTACAAACGACTTGTCCAGTCAACTGTCACATGGCTGTCTCATCTCATAAGCAGATGACACTTGATTCCTGGACCACGCTCCTCCCAACGAGCAGTCTCAGAACACTAAAACATCATCCGAAAATAGCAGTTTGCAAACTTCAGGCTTGTTTCAGAGGATGCGTATTGAAACGTCCAGAGTTCATAAAGTCCAGTGGTCAAAAAGTCCAGAATCGCAGCATCCAGCATTCGTAAGGTCCAGAATACGTCCAAAACCCCTAAACATAGGAGAATCATAATGTCCAGTGTTCATAAAGTCCAGTGTTCATAAAGTCCAGCGTGCGTGAGCTCCACGGTTTGGGATACTGTCCCACTTCCTCGAAACCCTTCACCTAATGCTTCGGATGTTGCCCGACAGAGGGCTACGGAGTCGATTTCGCCCACCCAAGCCGACGAGTGACGTCATGCGGTGCAGTGCTGCCCAGTTAAACCACTGGGCATGGATATGGACAACGTTTTGTTTGATCGCGCAAACTTTGCCGCGTCAGCACGCCCTTGGCAGCAGGCGCATTAAAGAATTCAAAACTTTGATCCCTGGCTCGTGGCATCGGAAAAAGCTCGCTATTCGGCAGTAGCTGCACGGCAATCGTGGAAAGGACTTGTCGGGTTGCCTGCTGTTTGGTATTGTGGGCTATGAATAAAATTATCCGCGGTATTTGGTTTCGTTATTTACTGTATGTGTTGGTGATGTTTCTCACTTTTTTGAAGGAATTGACGACCGATTTGTAAAGCTGACTGACTTGATGTCTGCTCCAGGTAGACGCGCAGATAGATCTCCAGGTCTTCGCCCGCTAACCTATATTGTTAGCGATTTTATTTGACTGATTTACCACCCTCCTCCAATTGCAAATTCTTTCACACGCCCCTGCAAACGGGATTTATTCTGAATTCTGCATGTCTTTACTCTCAAAGAGAGGGGGGTGGGGGATGTCTCATCAGCTGAATCCGGACACTATTCCTTGGTGAGGCACGTTCATTGGCCCAGCCTACTCGTTTTCTTCGTGGTCTACCAAAATAAGTTGGTTGGCTGAGCGTTGAAAATTCAACGAAGAGTACCGTGATAATATGCCAACGAATTTATTTCTTTCAGAATATGGCTCAGTTTCTCACAAATCTGCACGCTGCAGCCCAAGTTACGGCGGGGATGAAACCCTGCAACTGAAAAGGGAACTACACTTCTGGTTGCAAGTAAATGGGAAGCAAGAAAGCAAACGTTGACTGTGAATGTATTCAACTCCTCGCTAATCGCCACGCAAAATACACCTTCAAAAATACTCATGTCTCAAAAACGCTGCCACGCCAAATGCTCACATGCATCACATAAGTTTCGTGATTGACGGTGACAAGTTATTTAGATGACTCTAGTTGTTATGTTGTTGATTGGTCAAAAGTCGAATTTTACAGAAAACCGCACTTTGAAGCTTTATTTTATGTTGACGAGAACAAACCCTGCAGTGACACGAACCTTAAATTGGCATGCATCTTGTTCAATTCTGAGTACTTTCTGTGGTGCAATTATCTTGCCACCCGCCGCATGAGGCAGCCAAAGATCGCCGTGGAGTGCCCATCACAAACTGCCGCTGCTCCGAAACCAGAAAATGTAGGAACACGTTCTGGTACGAAGACACGTGCCATCATCAGTGCCTATCATGGCGAGGGTTAAACGCCATGTTATTGCTGCGTTGGGTATCGGCAACGATTTTTCGTGAAACAATATTCCTCATTTTGCTACTAACTGAAGCCATGGCGGGCAAAACAGGACAAAAACCGTGCTTGCTTCGTTCCACAATTGCTTGCTCCTAGCTTGACCCCGCGCTGACCCCGTCCCAACAGACCAAGTCTCTCGCAACAAGTTGTGCTCTGTCTATGGGCTGGCGCCGATAGGCTCCGATGCTCGCGAAACTTTCCCAGTCCGAACAACGAGAACATCTCATTGACGAGTCAGACTGTTCGCACGCGCTTGGCGAATGGCAGGTTGGTGCGAATGAAAGTGGCGCGAACGACAAGATGATCGACCAAGGCAACCGATCGCTGTTATCGCTTAAGACGAAAAGCAGTGAACGAATAAGACCGAAGGAAATATGACAAAGATACGGGTATGCAGTTCAAATATGATCATAATACTTTTCAACATGTTCAGCTCACGATGAGGAGTTGTGGAGGAGTGCCGTCTTGGAGCTGTTCACCGCCGGAGCGGTGGAGCACGGCTGGTGGAAAAGCTTTCGTATCATCCGTCATCAACTACGTCCTAACTAGGGGTCTAGACCTCTTCTCCTCACCTCCTCGGGCCCAGGGTACTCCAAGCAAGTGGAAGCAACCCGATATGAAAACCCGATACCAATATGAAGGGCCCTGAGCAACCGAGTGTACCCCGGCATTTGGGGTCCCGGCAGCAGCGGCGGAGCGGGAGAGCCCGCTTATCCCGAAGGCGCAGCGGCCGCCGCCGAGCCCGCGCAGCCGCCAGGCGCGTCTGCGCCAAGCCCGCCGGTGAGTCCCAGGGCGCGGCCGCGCCCAGGCTGGACACGGCCGCCAGGTGTCTAGGTTATTTATAATAACCATGCTTGACTATGCGCATCACGTGATCATCAGTGGCATGCCAGGTTGACTGTGCCATCTGTTGACAAAAGAGGGAAATAGCGGCAGGACTCAAAGATGCTTCTGTAGTGTTATCTAGCGGCAGGAATCCAAACTAGCCTGGTTGCCATCAATGCTTGACGTTTTGAACACTGGACTTTACGATTCTGGACTTTGCAACTCTAGACTTCGCGTCCCTGGACCTTATGAACACCCCCAATGGGCACGGAATTGGACGTTTTCTGGACGATATGAAAACTGGACGCTGCGACCCTGAACTTTTTGATGACTCCCCGGAGCGGTCGCCAGCTGTGTAACGCGTAAGGCGATGTCGGCACTTCTGCAGAGGGAGCAAACCGATCCCAGCTAACGCGGAGGGAGCTACCGGCGTCATCGGAGCGAGTTGCCCACCGGTTCAGGTGCTGTAACCAAAGCGCGATAGGGGTAATACCAAGCATTCGTCGTGGAGAATGAAGGCTGAAAGCTGAAAGATTTCGCGACATGAACACAACCCTGGATTGCGCATCGATTATCCACACACGGGCTTGGGCAGTCAAACTGGAATCTGGCGGACAGCGTGATGCGAGGGTGGCTTGCTGAGTGGAGAAACGAGAAATATGCATTCTTACAGTGGCAAATGGAGTGGGCGCAACGTCATTGAAGGGAAATTGGATGGCACTCCGCCCGCCCACCACTTCCGGTGTTAACAAACATGTCAGTGCCACCAAGCAAATTTTGTATTACGTCAGGCATGATCCACACCTTTACGTCACTCGTCCCAGCCAAAATGATGTCCGTTAAACCACCAATACGTACCCTGGCATCAAGCTGAAAGAATGCACACAAACATGACAGGTTTTCGGTTCAGCGGCAACTGAACACAAACAGAGCATTTAAATGGGATGTTCCACTTTTAAAGATATTGAGGTAAGCATGAGATAAGATAAAATCAGCTCACTTGTAACTAATGGTTTAGAGTAAATGGAAAATACCGCTCTCGAAACACAATCAGTACTTATCAAATATGCTCATGAACACGGCAGTGTTCGAGTACGTAGAGAGACGCGGATGTTTGCTGGTTTGCTGGTGCTTGCTGCGCCCGAATATTGTCCTGCGCTTGCGTTTTAGTCCTTTCTCGTGGTGTTTTATATTCGTCCTGGACTTTGTATAACTTTCTTTCATTTATATATGGCGCTACTCCTACATTCTTCGATCACAGTCTTCTTTCAATCATAACTATTACCACTGCACAAATCCTCGCATCGCGTAGCAAAAGAGTGATTCGTGTTCGAGTCTTGCACTGGCTACATCAAAGTAGTTGAATGCCACCTGCTTTTCATTGATGCCACGAATCGTGCTAGATGTGTGCCAGACACGAATAATTATATAATCATATTCGTATTGACCTTGAGCACTGCACGGCCAACGAGGTCGTGTCATTTGCGTAATGTTTCGATGGCGTCGTGGATGTCTGATTGACTTCGGACTAGTCTGTCCAAAATGGTCTGCACTAGTTCGCGGATGTCAAGCTTATAAACAAGACGACTTTAAGCCTTCAAAAAGGCGTGGCTATGAACTGCATGGAATGGTGAAAAATTAGGATACATGTGTTCTCCACCCTTCCATTGAATACAGTCATACCAGCGCTTCCAAGCATATTTTGTATTACGTCAAACACGATCCACATATTTATGTTCGTCGCACCAACCAAGCCCGGTAAGCTGTAAATACGTACCCTGGCATCAAGCTAAGATAATGCGCCAAACATGATAAGTTTCCGTTGTAACGGCATATGAACACAAACAGAACACTTGGAAGCGAGTCAGAGATGAAAAGTTAGCATTTCACCGCAGGTGAGCAGGCTCAGAGCACTTGCAAAAGCAGGGGAAGGTAAGGGAGGTGGCCGGGGTGGATAGAGCTGTACGAGTAAGAAAAGCCCTCCGGGCCGTACGTGGCCTGGAACGTGACGGGAGCGCCGGAGGCAGCGTACGTCTGAGGGTAGACACCGAGGGCGCCTGCGTTGTACAGGCGGGCGTGCTCAGCCTTGGTGGCGGCTACCTCAGGGGTATCGCCGATCGGCAGAGCGCTGTGTTACTTGCGGTAGCCACTCTTGGTTAGCAGGGCGTATTGACGTCGTTGACGGCAGCCGCCGGCAGGTTGGTGCCAGACACACGGTAGCCGGACTCGTCCACAACGTAATCGACCGTCTGTCTCACACCATTGAGGTCCACGTAACTAAAGGAGCCGACAATAGGAGAGACGGGGATTTTGCCGTCGAACTTGGTGCTGAGACCGTTGTTCTGGAGGCGGACGCCGGCCGGGGCGCTGGCAGCGAAGCCGTTATAGAGGGCAGCAGCGTATTTGGTATAGGAGGCGGCCAAGTTGGTAGAGTATCTGGCGGCTTCCGGTTGTACCGAGTAGGTCAGGCTGCTGTAGGGCTAGGCGTACTGGGCAGCGACAACGGCCAGGACAGCGCACACTACCATCTGAAAAGGGCAAAGTCAACTCAATATTTGTTGCTGAAAAGAGCTGGAAGAAGAGAAGCAATTCCAAAGAACGTTGCTGCTGAAAAAAAAAATAGTAGGCAAAGCCTGTCATATATTGCCCGAGTCATTTGTGCCAAGTGGAAAGATTAGATCGCAATGTTTATAAAACATCTGTAAGACAGAAAGGCATTCCAGTTAAGTTAACATGTTTTTTTAACATCTTGGAGCTGATGCCACCCTGCGGACATATAAGGGTTGCGTTGCTGCAAAGAAGCAGTGACTGGAGAAACCTTTTTGAACTCACAAATCACTTCCGTTAAGGCGACTGTATCACATTTGTACGGGACACTGAACTGAGAGACCGATCTTCATGATCGTTTTCTGAAGTTAACAGGCACAGCCATGTCCAGTTTAAGACTTAAAATCCTCTTCTTTCTGAGCTTGATGCATGTGAACTTGTAGAGCCTAGTAAACATCGGAACACCTATAGGAATTTTACCCAAGCATGTATGTCATCATAGTAGTCAGGTTAAAACCTCATTACATTAGCTGTGTTGCACTTACGGTGAAGACATGGCCATTTAACCATTTGTGTATATGGTGATGCATGCAGTACAAAGGACAATGGATAACGGTGGGGAGGACTACACGAACCTGGGAGTCTATTCGCCAAGGCATAGCTCGCACAGGGACCCCTCTGCGCGGTATGTGCTAAACCCTGGACGGGGGTCGCGTAAGCGGGATATTTGGCTTATTCATGGCTGGTGCGTGCAGCACGCCCTGAACTTGGGACTTGCAAAGTCCCATGGGGTCGTCTTGCCGCATCTACCCATACGGAAGTCCCTAGTCACTTGCTACGGAATGCTTAATTCATGGTGATTCTCTGCACTTTACAACCACGACCTGATTGGACGTCTGGTTTAACACTTCAAATTCTCTTGTTTCTGAGCTTCATCCACGTGAATTTATGCAGTCTAGTACCCATAAGAACGCCTACAAGACTTTGATCCCATGACGTGCGCCATCATAGTCACATCACGTGAAAACCTACTTAAGCGTTGTCATCCCGACGGGTACAGGATAAAGGGAAGAAGGGATATATCGGCAAATGTCTAGATCACGGACTGCTCTACGCCATAGGTAATACAGCTATTTGGACAATTGCTAGACGGGGCAGACAAAAGACAGAAAAAATAACCCAGGAATAGCGCCGTAATCAAAACCGCAACTGCAAAAACAAAAATACTACCACAAAAAAATGCAGCAATACCACGAGAAACAGCCAAATCACACGCACTTAACGTTCGTAGGTTCAGTTCACACTCATAGATCAACACTACCTCCTTGCGGCATGTCAAAGCACTACAAGGGAGTCCTGCCGTCCGCTACAGCGGCAACTCCGACGTGACAACACTCGCATTGACTCTAACGTCGTAAAAACGTTCCACGACACAACAAAGCGATGGTGTGATCAAAATCCTCCTATAGCGAAATTGTTATGTTCAGCAGGCATTTGCATTTAAAAGCATGCGAGATCGGAACACCGATAAGAATTTTACTAAGACATGTACGCCGTAATGGTAGTCATGTGAAAACCTCACCGCATTGACTTTGTTGTCTTATGTTGAAGATATGGTCTTTTAACCATTCGTGTTTGGGGTGATGCATGCAGAATAAAGGACAGTGGAAAACTGTGGGGCAACACTGCCCGCGTCTGGGGGTCTATCCGCCGAGGCTTAGCCCGGGACCCCTCAGTGCGGTATTTCCTAGACGCTCGGACAGGTGCCGCATAAGGGGGCATCCGACCTGTTCATGACTGGCGCGTGCAGCCTGCCCCGGACCTAGAACTCGCAAAGCCTCAAAGGGCTGCCTTGCCGCATGAAACCTTAGAGAAGTCGCTTGCTAACTAATGATTAATTCATTATTATTCTCTGTAGATCACAACCATAACGCGTAGCGTATTAAGAGGGACGCAGGATAAAGGGACGCAGCCTGTTGCTGGAAAGCTCTGCTGGCCGTGCTACAATGTTGTAGGTGCTTTAAGACTGTAGAATACTATCGCCGGCGTGATACGAGCCGCCGGACGCTGATGGTTGCACCCCGGGTTTTCCTTGCCGCGTCTAGCCATAGGGAAGTCATTTGCTGCTCAATGCTGCTAATATTACGCCAGTGGTTGTCTGGCCTGTATCTCAATGGGATCACCGGCCACGGTTCTTCTAGGCGCCAGACGCTGGCCTCGTCCGTCCCGCGTGTCATGTAAAATATATGCGGAATGTCCGGCTGGTTGAATTTGCGTGGAATATTTCAAGTTGTTTAGGCAAGAATGCAAATGTTTGTCATAAAACAATAGCCTATCAACCTCACCGCATGCTTAGTTTTGCACCAACGAGCCGCTCACAAAAAACCAGAACACTCTTCTCGTCTCGTCCTTGGCGAAAGGTGGGAAGAAGAGCAAAAGCTCAGGCGCGTCGTTCATCCTACCCTATCAACATCCAGCCTTCTAAACATTTCAGTTCCAAAGGGAATTGTGCTGCCTTTGGAACTGAAGCAAGACAGTGTTTATGCAGAAATGGCCCACAACTGCCTAGCCATGCAGTCAGCATCTGACATTTCAAACAATGGCAGCACTCATTCTTTTCGTTTATTCAGCAACACCTTGCATCACAGTGAGCTAGAATTGCTTTTGAACCAGGGTGGGAGTGAAAAATTGCATCGCAAACAGACCGTACAGAGGTGAAAAATTCAACCTACGAAAGTCTGAACTTTTGATTGAATCGGTTAGAGATGCTCCAGTAAACAAAGACATACATTTCAAGTTGGCATGGATGCAATATCAGAAGCATGACAAAAATGTTTGTTAACATCTTAGGTCATTGCAGTGAAACAGAATACATTAAAGAGTAGTAACTTCTTAGAAGTGTAATGAGCATCAAAAACTATGTCACATCTATGTTTTAGTGCTGCACTTTGCGTTTCACTTCCAAAGGACTTTTAACACAAAACAAAGCAAAGGAATTCAACACAAATGCAACAACACCAAATTCAACAAGCATAGAGCATTCAAGCAAAAAAGGCTTGGACTCACGCACATCAGCACATCATCAAATTAAACACCACAGGCATGCCTCTGGCTTCTGTCAAGATAGAGTCAGAAAATACAAATATTATGTCACCCTTGCAAAATACCAATGCCTATTTCCATGAAAGTAACCTAACCAAGCCTGACCTACAGCAGCGTTACCTTTTCTCTCTCTGTCTAACCCATTTGTATCACAGTAGGGTTTGTGAGTCGCTGATTCTTGCAAATGGCATCCAGGTTCTGTGTAGCCTTGTTTATGCTTGGTGGTCTGAAGTGAGCTCAATTTTTGATGACGTCTTTAAACCTCTGAAACGGAAATATGGGTTTGACATGTGTGGTTAGACAATATCAGGTAGGAGAAAAACATTCTCATTAAATAGAAGGAAAAGCAGTTAAAACTCCTCCTCATAGGGTGTTGCTTAGCATCAAAAAGTCGGCAATTCTAGGACACTGTTGCATCGTGCCTGCAACAAGAATGTCAGTCACCCACATAATCATTAGTATCAACCGCGACGATATGAAACATGCTTTGGTATTTACACCATGCCATTGACAGCACGTACCGCAATCTTGTTTGCTTTAAAGAGATTTAGTAAGGAAATGGTTACTCCATCCTTGCTAAAGGTTGTGGCATTTCGGAGATCACCGATTATAAGGAGACACACAAATGGGTGTAGGAACTGATGGGGGTGGACAGGCCCCACTTTTTAAGGTGAGGGGGAAGCAATGTTGCCTGTCCCACTCCCCAATTACCAGATCTAATTTGTGTTTATCTTACTTTTGTATTACCTTAACCATGCATGCCGATTTGGCTAGTTCACCAGTGACATTCCTGAAATCCCACTGGAAACAACTGCTTCATGTTGTAAATGGTATAATCTTATTCCATCATTAACAATGAACGGAGATATTGAGGGGCAAACCCAAGGCTCCTTCAGTAGCAAAGACTCCATTCTGTCATTGTTATATATCACTGGTTCTTCTGTATGGCTGTTTACAGTCCCCTTAGCACATGTTCATGGAGTACAAGATGGTATGATGCATCCCTCAAAGTGTCTCCGGATGGCCAAAGGGACACCCGTGTCGCCAGAATGGCGGCCAGAACACACCCGGCACTGGGACCGAGTGGCCCGTCAGCCCTGCACCGGCAACAGTGATGTGCCCCTAGTGTTCTTCTCACGGGACTCTTCGCCAGGAATGCGCAAAAGGTCTCAGAAATGATAAATTGAGTGGATCCAAATGAGGTTAGAAATGAAAAGGCCAACTCATATTCGCCTCATAGCGTTCATTCTTTCGTAGAATCGACCAGTGAAATAAATAACAAAACAGTTTTAGACCCTGCGCGCTTGCAATCTAAGGTATAGGAACAGCAATGGCCGCGAATATAAGGCATGCTCCCCTGGCCGAATGCAGGGCATTAGCGCACTGCCCAAACGTATGTAGATAGGCAAACCAACTATCGGCACCAACTGAGTGAGACTCTCAATGATTCCGGACGTCGCCATGTCTGCGGACGCCGTAAGCATGAAAACACGAACGAGCTCCATCATGATAAATCAACAACGTTACGAATGTGGTTGTTGCCGATGGCCCTGTCTCCTCCCGCCGAACTTCTCAGAGATTTTCATACCAGATTAATAGAAGGCTGATACGTTCCTGCCCATCTACCTTCCTGGGGTTGCCATTATTTAGCTGTGTAAAGAGGGTGTAGTTATTTGCCTTTGCTTCCATTTTCTAACGGCAGTGACCTGTGTTGCATATCAGTATGATATCAGAACAAAAGAGAAATCCTAGGCGCAGGTCATAATGACTGGTGATTCAAGTGTTATGGTGCAGGCTGTTAGCGAGTTGCAATTATGTCTGAGACAGTGCTAGCATGGCATGGCACTATTGCAAGCATTAATGACTTTTTCAGATTAGGTACTTACCTCCAAAAAGAAATTGTGTAACCTGTATATATTCATTAACAATGGGGAAAATATGGTAGTTCTAGGCACATACGGCTTCCATAAGCATTTTTCAGACTCCAGATGCAGAAACCATTATTTTTGGCATCGAATAATTATGAGTCATGAATCCATAAGCAACTTCGCCGCGTAAAACAAGCACTGATTCACTTCACTTTTCTTATACTTCATAAGTGGAATGTTCATCCTTGTAAGTTTTCAAAGCCCCTCAGGAAAGCTTTGTTTAAACAAAAAGTCCAAAAAATCGACCTTTGTCTTAAAGTCCCTAGCTTTTAAAAGGTACGTGGCATTTGGATCTTTGTGCCCGTTTTATATAACGTATATGCCACTGAAATATACTTACATTTAGACTTAAACAAATATGGTACATTATATGTGAAAAACAGTCTTTGGTATCGACGTAAAACCTCGGAACTAAATTGACAGCACCAGACAGCAGCTCGTACTTCATAACGACATCAGAAAAGAGAGACAAGATAGCGGCTGATCGACCCGAGATAATATACCCACTCAATACGCCTCGCTGTCCGGACATCGTGTAGCGGGCCATATTAACGGGAGTGCTGCGCGCTTGAGGCATAGTTCAAAAACATGCTGTGGTGAAACCTCAGGGCCAGTTCGTCTACTAAGAATACTGGGCAGTGCTACCACAGCTTCATCAAGATGTAATGAGGTGGTTGCTTCTAATTATTGTCAAGCACAACTTGCGCTGTCAACATTTTGCCACTGCACTACACTGTTTCCTTTCTTGATAGCCACGAGTGCAGTCCTGCACGGCGAGCGCAGTTGTCGCGAGTACCGGCGTCATGACAACGGCAGATATATGGGGACCGTCGTTAGCTGTTGTGGACAAACGGTACCACTTTTGAGCTGCCGCAATATACCTTAGCGGAAAACACCAGTGGGCTGGTCACAACGAGATCTCGCGATTGGTACTAGCTTTCATGTTGTTGTCAAATAGTCGAATTTTCCAGAAAATCACACTCAGATTTTCATCATGGGTTCGAGACCATACCTCTAAGGGACACAAAACTGAAGCAGGCGTCATTTTTGTTCAATATTGAGTACAATGGTGTTGATTTTTATGTGTTTTGAGTATATATTTTTGATATATGACTGCTAATGCCGCAGTGCCGGCGCCCTGCGCGCGTTCCGTGGCATCGATGCCCGGAATACCGCCCGTTGCCCGCGCAGGCCGTAGATCGCCCTGCAGCGTTCCTCCAAACCGCCACCGTTCCGAAACCAGAAATGCTAGAAACACGCTTCTCGTGTGAAAACACGCACAATGGATGCACCATAGGCTACTGAAAGAAGGCATCCTAGAAAACCTTAGGAAGGTTGGATTACCTCCCCCATCCTATCAGGATGAGGGTTTAGACGATTAGCAACCGGAAGAGGAAAGCGAGACCTAAAGGTGTAGCGTGTTCAGTTTTCATTCATCCGATTTTCAGTCAAGTACATTCCGCCCGTTGCAACCATTTTTAGGAATTAAACTGCATTTGTTTCCTGTCAATCAATAAATAAGACTATGACGATACTAAGAAGAGAAGTGCTTTCAAGGAGTGAGTGTCCCCTCGCCTAATGTAAACAATACCCCACAGTATACTGACAACATATATATATATATATATATATATATATATATATATATATATATATATATATATATATACATATATACACAAATGACTTTCCTGTGGCCAGACACGGCAAGAAAAACTCGGGGTGCCAACATCTGCGACAGCGTCCGCAGTGCATTGCATTCTTACAAGCAATGCATTTTTTGGTAAGATTTGTGTAGGATAATATGGATACCTTTGTCATAATCTAGGAAGTATTTGAATTCTATGCCAAAACACACACAAAAAACATATTCGTGAGAGTATTCATATATATATATAGTATTCATGTATATAGCATATATGTATGTAGTATTCATAACCAGCATCTTATCAGCATTCTATTAGCATATTAGCATCTTATTAGCAGCATCTATAGTATTCATAGCCAGCATATATATATATATATATATATATATATATATATATATATATATATATATATATATATATATATATGAATACTCTCATGAATATGTGTTGTGTGCGTATTTTGGCATAGAATTCAAATGCTTCCTAGATTATGATCAAGGTACCCCTATCATCCTAAACAAATCTTGCCAAAAAATGCATTGCTTGTAAGAATGCAATGCACTGCGGACGCTGTCGCAGATGTTCGCACCCCGAGTTTTTCTTGCCGCGTCTAGCCATAGGAAAATCATTTGCTACCGAATGTTGCTAATATGACGTAAGTGGTTGTCTGACCTGTATCGTCACGGGATCCCCAGGCACAACCGCTGTGGGCGCCGGACGCTGGCCTCGCTCGTCCCGGGTGTTATGTAAGACATCTGTGGGGTGCCTTATTAACATCTGCTGGTTGAATTTGCGTGGAATAGTTCAAGTTGGTTTTGAGCAGGAATACAATTGTCTGTAGTACAGCAGCAGCCCATGAAGCTTGCGGTAAGAATATGTTTTCACCAACGAACAGCTCACGAATAGAATAAAAAACAAAATAGGATGCTGGTCTCCTCCGTTGCGTGCGTCGTTGGGACTGTGTCATGTAAGGCGTATGTATGTTGTCTCATGGGTTTAATTGGCGTGGAATATTTCATATTAGTTTAGAGCAGGCATACACATCCTTGCAACACAACAGAAGCTTATCAGTCACCGCTGACCATGTGATATAGTTCACCATTGACCATTCGTTTGGTACCGAGAAGAAGCTCACGAAAGCAGACCGCCGTCTCCATCCCTATCCCTTTTTCATCCACTTACTGCTGGTGATGCAGGTGTTGTCTCTGTAGCATTACACACCAGCCTTGCACAGCTCAATCTATCTACTCATGCCTGCAAGTCCATATGAAATGCTAATTCAAGGTGGCGGGTGAGCGCAAATGAAATACGTTTAAATGCTATCATAACTTTCAGCGCCTCTAATGACTTCATGGTACCACTGTGTATCCCTTCGCAACAACCAGCTTCATTAAGTCGACGATAATGTACGAAGGGGCTTGTTAGTGTTCTCACGCTTACAGCGTCCGCAGACATTAAGACATCTGCAGTCATTGAGTACCCCACTCAGTTGGTGCCGATATTTGGTTTGCTCACCGGCACACATTCCATGCAAAGTTTACCACCCCTAACTATCAAATTTCAGATGTTATTAACGTGGAACGTAGCTTTGTTCTACCTTAAACATGCATCTGATTTGCCTAGTTCACCATCGATCTTACTCAAACCTACCGGACACAACTGCTTCATGTCGAAAAAGGCAGCATATCATCTTGTCATAAACGGCAGATGGAGGCATGAAGGGGTGAACCCAGGGCTCCTTTAGTACTAAAGACTTCATTCCGTCTCTTTATATAGCCTTGATTCTTCTGCACGACTGCTTACAGTCCCCTTAGCGCGTGCTTACGGAGTGCAACTGTGAGACCACACGCTTATCGCACGATGCATCCTTTTAACGTCGGTGACGTAATCCACCGGCAGGTGGGTGCCAGGCCAGCAGTAGCCGGACTCGTCTATAACGTAATCGACCGTCTGTTTCTCACCATTGAGGTCCACGTAACTAAAATAGCCCACGATAGGAAAGACGGGGATTTTGCTGTCGAACTTGGTACTGAGGCCGTTGTCCTGGAGGCGGACGCCGGCCGCGGCACTGGCGGCGAAGCCGTTATAGACGGCAGCAGCGTATTTGGTGTGGGGGCGGCCAAGTTGGTCCAGTATCAGGCAGCCTCCGGTTGTACCGAGTAGGCTTGGCCGCTGTAGGGCAGGTCGTACTGGGCAGCCGAACCGGCCAGGACAGCGCTCACTTCCATCTGAAGAAGGACAAAGGCAGCCTAATATACGCTGTTTAAAAGAGCTGAAAGGAGAAAAACAATTCCATACGACGTTGCTGCTGAAAATATTTGGTAGAAAGTGCCTGCCATATATTTATCGAGCCGTTGGTGCCGAGTTGAATGATGAGATCGCAATGTTTATAAAACATGTTCAAGACAGGCAAGAATCATTGCAAGGCAAGGCATTTATGTTGACATGCTTTTTTAGCATCTTGGAGCTGATGTCACCCAGAGGACAGATAACAGTTTTGGTGTCTCATAAAACTAAAGGTTATGTGGTTCCGAAATGAAGGTACCATTGCACCTTTTGCGATAAGATTTGGTGGCTCTTCAGGGCGTCTTAATCTCCTTGGGCCCAAGGGGGAAAGGAATGACTCTATGGCCCTCCCCCTCTGGACCCGCCCCCGCTTTGTGGTGCTTCAGGAAGTATGTGCCTCTGGAAAATAAAAGCTAAGATAACCCGTAATGAAACTTTTTGGTGCTCTCTCGTGGAACAGGCAGATCGAGAATTTTGCAAGGGTGAAAGGCACTGACATTGTGATGTCAATGGATTTTGAACGCTGTTTAAAACCGAAGCTTTGGGAAATTTGAATTGCCCATTTAGATAGAGGGGCTCTTTAAAGTAAAGGTTATGGTGCCGCGAAATTAAAGCCATGGTGCTCCAAACTAACCATTTCGGTGCCCCCTAGCCTAAGGGGCTAATCCAGGATTTCGTCAGGGAGGCACAACACTGCTGTATACCTCAAATTAGGAGGCACAACACTGCTGTATTCCTCAAATTTGGTGCACTCAGAAAATGGTGGGTTTGGCCCGGTGATGGTGTACACGGATTTCAGTGCCAATCAAAAATAAATATTTGTGATCATCTGTGGTGCCCGTGAAATTTTGGGGCCTTTTGAAAATAAAGGTTAAGTGGATGTGAAATGAAGATTTTGCTGCCCCTTCACCATAATATTTGGTTGCCCCCTCACCTCAACAGACAGGGGGCATAGCCCCATCCAACCCCCCCCCCCCCCCCCTACCACTTTGGATCCGCCATTGGTCAAGGCCGGTTAACAAAGCACACCTCATCGCGTCATCGCCTCAAAGCGTAGCCCGTTATTTTTTCCTAACTTGTCATTCGGCTCCTGGCGTAAGCCCCATTCATGTCACTTTGGTGTGGATCTGAATATATACAGTGTTGTGTTTATGACTGCAAACCCCAATTCTATGTTCCGAAAAGTGTTGTTTGTACATGCTATGTAGCTAGCGCCTCCTTCGCACGAGACATGTGTACTGGGCCATACTGCCTCTAAACTCTCCCCACGCAGGCTCTAAGGGCATGTTTCCTGCAAGTCAACAGGTACCCACGAGCGGTTCAGGTAAGCGCGCGAACAGGAACGCACGCTGTGTTGCTACATGCGGCCTGCTGCTAGACGCCCGTTGCATACTACATGGCTCATCCCGTTTCAAGAGCATTTGCAATAAACACTGCAAAGTGCTCTCTGCTGCCCTCGCCCCGGGCACACGGTGTTCCTACCTCCATTACCAAGGACGTAGCAAGACAATGAAACGAACTTCGCATATTAAAAACTGTAGCTATCACATCCATAATATATATATATATATATATATATATATATATATATTTACCTGCATCGTGGTTGTATTTTCCCTGGCCTTATGCGAAGCCTGGTTCACTGACTTCTGACTTACACGGTTACGGCCATGGGTTGCCTTGGTCGATCAGCTGATCGGCCAATGCGGCCAGTTCGCGCCATTTTTCATTCTCGCCAGCCTGCCTGTTGTCAAGCTCGTGAAGTTCGGCGCGTGGATGAAAATGTTCTAATGGCATTCATAATTGGTCGCACGGCGACGTTTCCCGCTTGGAGTTTCTCAAGCGCAGTAGTCGTCTAGCACCGGACCTGAGACAGATCGCGACTTGTCGCGTGGGAGTGCTTTTCGGAGGCGGGCTCAGTGTGAGGTGAAACAAGGAGCAAGTAGGTATGGAAGTAAGCAAACATTCTTGCCTCACATGGTGCAGTTGTCTACAAAATGAGGAGAATCTTTTCGCGAAACATCATTGCCGATATCCATTGCAGCAATAAGATAATGTGTAAGACAACGAGAGTAGGTACTTACACGTGCGTACGACATAACACATGCAAAAGGGATATCACCATCAACCACATATTTCGAAGCATTACACGATATGAGTTTACACATTCGCACTCTAATTCTGGTGACACATATCTCCGTTGCATAACTCCGTTCACAACGGGGCATGCTTATTACGGAAAGGAGAACAAATGTGAGAAGAAATACAAATGCACGGTATGCTGTCATCTTAACCGAGATATGCACCAGAGAAAGCCTACCTCCCCCTGAAATGGCGGAAAAATCAAAGTAAATAACAGAATCTGCCGCCACCCTACTGCCTACCGGCCACGTATCCGCTAAATACCGACAATAACATGATGCTCTGACATCTGCATCGGTGTTCCTATATGCGATCGGCTGTTTGTCGCCTAACACGTACACTTTCGCATCTCCCGTTTCAAGAGCATTTGTAGCATGTCCCACACACTGGGCCTGCCATAAGCGCACTGTGTACTCCAACATCCATGATCAAAGACTTAGCGAAACGATGATGAAATGATCTGAAAATATTGAAATCTATTATGATCATATTCAAATTGCATACCCGTATCTTTGTCACATCTCCTTCAGTCTTATGCGTTCACTGCAGCTCGTCTTACGCGACAACAGCGATCGGTTGCCTTGGTCGATCATCTCATCGTTCGCGCCATTTTCATTCGCGGCAAGCTGCCTGTCGCCAAGCGCGTGCGAAGAGTCTGGCGCATACATGAAGATGTGCTCTGTCCATGGGCTGGCGCCGAAGGGTTCCGATGCTCGCGAAACTTCCCCCGTCCCAAACAACGAGAACATCTTCATCATCAGTCCATGGGCTGGCGCCGAAAGGTTTCGATGCTCGCGAAACTTTCCCCGTCCCGAACAACGAAAACAACTTATTGCGAGAGACTTGGTCTGTTGGGACGGGGTCAGTGTGAGGTCAAGCTAGGAGCAAGCAATTATGGAAGGAAGCAAGCATAGATTTTCCCTCTTTTGCCCGCTATGGGCTTCAGTTATCAGCAAACTGAGGAATATTGTTTCACGAAAAACCACTGCCGATACCCAACGCAGCAATAACATGACGTTTAACCGTCACCATGATAGGCGCTGATTATCGCACGTGTTTTGATACCAAAACGTGTTCCTAAATTTTCTAGTTTCGGAGCAACGGCAGTTTGTGATGAGCACTCAACGGCGATCTATGGCTGCCTCATGCGGCGTGCGGGAAGAGAATTGCACCACAGAATGCACTCAGAATTGAACAAGACACACGTCAACTTAACACGTACCCGGATGGCCGGTTAGATACCCTTCGCTCGGCTGGGGGTGGGGGGTCAATTTGACCCCCGCCGCCTCCCCATTGAGATCTCGGGAACTTAGAAAAGCTAGAGACACCAAATGTACAGAGTGTTTTGACCTGTACGTGAAATCACGCAGGTAAAAGTTTGAGCTTCTTGGAACATGACCTTCTGGTCATATAAGGTCAACCAAGCTCAAATTACAGGCTGGTCTCTGAAGTGCCCCCAGAACCCAGGCAACCGTTTCTAAGCAAAAGCTCACAAGCCCATTGGGGTCAGCGACCTTTTTTGACCCTTTAAAGGTCATAGTGACCAAAATGATACAAGACTTCTCTGAGTTTTGCATTTGAATAGGCAACAAAGATTACGCTAGGCAGATGTTTCTAAAATAAAATGTCGACCCTGGTCACCTCAGGTCAACGACCCGTTTGACCTGTAAAAAGTCAATGGAAGATGTAGGATGCGGTTCCTGCTGTCAATAAACTCGAAATTAGCACCACAAAGTATCGCTTACAACAGCCTTAGGGTAATAAATCAGGTTGGTTTTGACCTTCATACCCGACCTTAGGTCAACTTAATTTGCTCATTCAATAGTTGTAGTGCCTAAGGAAAGCATCTCAGAGATGTATGGCTTCGTTAAGCACTCCGTTATTGCATCAGATGGGACGATTCCCGAGAAATTCCCTGGCTGAAGCCATGGCCTGATTTTGACCTGCCATAGGTCAAACGACCTTGCAAGGTATGCCTAAATTTTGATGTCAAACGATCCGCTATTCAATTGTCTACGGCTATGCAACATTTGGCGCGGCTATGCCGCGTCGTTCGGCAAACCATTCTGGAAAAACCTTCGCGAGGTGTCAATTGACCCGCACCCCACCCGAGCGCCTGTTAAGGGTTCGTGTCACTGCAAGGCTTGTTCTCGTTAACATAAAATAAAGCTATAAAGTGCGTTTTTTTCTGTGCAATTCGACCTTTGACCTGTCAACAGCATAACAACTAGTACCATCGTGAGATCGTGTTCAGAACAATATACCGCTCTTCTCGGCAAGGTCTATCTTTATAAGCTTGGAAACGCCGGGGGAGGGTCGCATCAACCCCTTCTCCCCCCATCAGTCCGAGGTATGCAAAACGGCGAGAATCAGGGGCGATGGCTAAGACATACAGCGAGCATAGGTGCTTAAACATGCGTTCAACGCACATGCAGAAGGGGTATTACGATCAGCACATATTTCATGAGCGTAACATTACATGAATCCACTCTTTTGCACTCGGATATGTGGGTGCCAAAGCTCTCCCGTTATGTCACCCTGGTCATAATTTCTCCAGATATTTCGGAGGCTGGGCGACCTTCACAAAAAACAGAAAATTGCATGATATGTTGTCACTTTCACCGAAAGAGTCATCTAAATAACTTGTCAACGTCAATCACCAAAACATATGTGGCGCATGTGAGCGCTTATGTTGCAGTGTTTTTGAGACACAAGTATTTTTGAAAGTGTATTCGCATTGCCCTGCCATCAGACTGGTGTTAGTGAACGGGGACACGCACTGAAACTAATTTTCTATAACAGATACGATCGACTTAACCTGCAACGGCCCTCTGTCATGGCCGATTCTGGACCACTTCCTGGCGCGAAATCTGAGGCATGACTTAACCGCATGTCCCGACTGAGCGGCCAGAGCGGGTCCACGAGTTTGTCAGAGGACTAATTGGACTGCTAGACGCTGCTACGGTATTGCCAGCATTTTTATTTGATAATATTTTTGCTCTGATTCAGCTATGATCATTCTTTCGACTTCACGGTTCCGAAAAGAGTTCCTCCCAAGGGGCTCCTGGGTCCCTCAACCTTCTCCCACCCCGCCCTTCCCCCCCCCCCCTCCCCTTCAACAGCCAGACCCCCAATAGAGTTTTCAGCCAAGACTTGAGACCCCGTGCATTTCTCGATTGGAGCTGAAGGACGTTTCCGTCCCCTTTCAGATTGCCAATCGGTTACTATTACTACACATTATACATTAGTCCCCTGTCTGACGCCGAAGGCCTTCTGACCGGAATGGTTGACCCTGGATCAACGCGGGGCCATTCAACGTTTCATAAAGGTCCCAAGAGTAGCGGGTCTAATAAATAGCTCAGTGATCCAAGTTCGGCGCATTTGGGCTCTAGAGGAAACGGGCAGAGGGACGCTATCCGGTGCTGGTTCCTGGCTGATAAGAGGCTCTTCCATTAAGACACCTGTCAAGAAGGAGGAGGGGGCGGGGGCGGGGCTCCGGTCCAGCACGGGCGAGATCCCGAGATGTCCGGCACGTCCGGATGTCCAGTCCGCCGGGATATGTACCACGGCGAACCGAGTGAAACCGAGTCAGGGGCCCCGGGCTCTGACGTGCAGATGGCAGCGTGCCCGACTGAGCTGGCAGCCTTTCGACCGCGAACGGGCTGCACACGAACAGGCATCGCGCGCGCGTGGCGGCGTTCGGTTCTTGGGCGGGGGACGGCGCGTGCGTGGATGTGTTCTTTTTATGGCGGCCGGGCTGTCTCGTCGGCCAGCCCGCCGCCGGCATGGCTGCTGACCAGATCGTCGAGCTGGGCAGCCTCTGGGCTGGCCTGTGTGTCCGAGCTCCGCGTCCAACCGATTGCACATTATTATCCACACATATATACATTGATTGAGCGGCAGCATTGGCTACAAATTTGGCGGCGCCGGTTTGTTTGTCGGGACTGGTTGCAATGTCGATTGGGGCTTTACCTCTCAACGGCTGCTATGGCTATATCGAGGCGGAACGCCTCTGTTACGCAGATGTCAGGCATTAGGCACGTGGGATGCGGTAGTGGTGTTACCACGACTCAATCCCAGGATAGAAAAGTCCACAGATGAGCACCCCAACCACTAACCACAATGCCACCATTGCCTTTCTGCGGCGCGAACTGCACCCGTCTCGATAAACTAAAGACTGGTGTTACTGGATCCTAAATTTTATACTTAGGGGGTTCTGAACCGTAAAAAGAAGAAAGCGTGTCAAGATTGATGGAGTGGTTGGCGATTACAAGCTCACGATTCTCCCAATTCATTCAGCTTATCTATCGCAAACCAGCTCAGTGACATACACTTGGCTCCGCTGTTCAGATGGTGAATCAACAGCGCCTTTAAGCGCGGCACGTATGTAATGTTTTGTGTGTGACGTTTGGCAGGTATTTGAATACATTCACAGTCAACGTTTGCTTTTTTACTTCCT